TTAAAACAAATGAGAATACTGAATTAAGACCGATTATATCACAGCTAGTTTACGGCTCAGTCTTTTACAAGAACTGCATGATGCACCTCAACCTGACATTAGAAAAACGGTGCAGAGAGTACATAAGGCAGTTGTTTTTTCAGAACTTCACAAAAATGTGTTATGAATATGTCAACACATGTCAATTAGTTAACAATGTAAACTATAGCCTGGCCGGGTATATAAATAGCATAAGAACTACTTTCCCAAATGAATTAACACATTTATTAGACCCCTACCCATGTAGTGAAAGTAAAAAAAAAAACACATATTTGCTTGTTATTATCGATCATTTTTCGAAGTGGGTAGAAAAAAAACCACTTCGAAAAATGATAAGAAAATGATGAGAAAAAAGACAAAAGATGGGCCTTCCACATCCAAAATGGTGATTCCAGGAAAGAAGCAAGAGTGCAAGAAACAGAAGTCAAAAGATATAGGCATGGAACCCAAAGGAAACAGCATGAAAAAACCAGGCTAGCACAAAAGAGTAAGTCAATAAGAAGCAGCAGCAGAAAAGACCATATATGAGATACAGCGAGCGGGTGAAGGACAAACAAAACAGTCAAGGAGCCAGCGATCTAAATTGCAAGTGCTGAGAAAGGTCATTATCAACCGAATGGTACAGCAAATTCCACAAAGGAAGTGGAGGCTAGAGGAACAACCTTTTTGCTATTGAAATATAAAATTTGCTACTTAATGTGAAGTAGGAAATGGCAGACCACTGATTTGTTTTTCTGTTCCTTTCGGATTAAATAATTAACTGAACAGCTTCAACACATAAAAAATTAATCTCTATAGCCAATGTGAAAAGTTTAATGCACAAAGATAGAGCAATAAGTTTTACAATACAAATAACACGTTTTTCATACCACAATCAATACAGTTGTTATGGGCTGCATATATAGTATAAATGAGGTGTTGTGAAAAATTATCAAAGAATTAATCAAACCATTAACCATTCCTGACAAATTAACTAAATTAAGTCAAAGTCAGATAAAAGAATAGTACATAGGCAGGGTGTTAGATCCAACTATCAAAAGGTTGATCTCGTATAAAACTGCACAAGTAACTAAAAGACAGTCAGTAAAATAAATAAATCACAAACAATTTAGTAACTTCAAAAACTAGTCAGTAAGTATTTTTTATAAAACAGGAAAAAATAGAATAGTATGATTGAAAACAGGCCAAGTCTAATTAAAAAAATTTTCTTTAACAATCAAAATATAATTTGCATTCTCTGTAAAAATTTTAATAAAGTGATCTTACCATGCAAGTTAGTTAGAAGTGAAAACAGGCATACAATAGCCTTGAATAAACACTGGTCATCAAAATTAAAGGATAAATAAAGGATAAATTATTAATACAAATTTGTACAAAAGCTTTAGTTACCATCAATTACAATATTTGACAGTTGAATTATTTGCAAAATATTGAGGTTAAAATGAAATTTTTGGAAACTGAAAAATGATGAAAAAATTAAGCCACCTTTTAATCAAAAAATGTTTCTCTAATATGGTGTATGGTCACCTTGAACAGATATGCATACCTAACATCTTGATTTCATAGACTTTCCTAAGTATTGATCAAGTCTTGTGGAATTGCACACCACTCTTCTAAAAGTTCACTTTTCAATTCTTGAAGGGTCCAGAGAAGAATTTAGCACGCTGAAACTTGGCACCCTGAAGCATCTCTATGATAAATCGGGTTCAAGTTAGGTGAGTGAGATGACAAATCCACTCAAGTGATATCTTCTGCATGTAAATATTCTGACACCACATGTGTTCGATGATGGCAAACATTGTTATTGATTGGCAAAAACTGTGGGTCAACAGCACATATAAACAGCCTAAATTTGAGTTAGAATAGCTTGTCTACATATCTACGAGCGGTTACAGAACCTCCTTGAAAGACATGTAGGTTAGTGTGGCCATTTGCCACGATTCCCTTCCCCAAAACATTTAACCATGGTCACTGCAATTAGATATTTCAAGGTAATAATTAATAACAAGGTAATAATTAGATGTTTTCTCTATTTAAATTAGATATTTCAAGCAAGTTGCATGTTCCTTCCTCTCTCTTCAGATCAAAACACACCTGGAATCACTCTTCAGACTATATCTTGACTCGTCAGTAAACAGTACTCAGGCCAAGTATTCTTGGCTCCATCGAACATGATGACGGCACCAGTTTAAATAGGCATCTCTAAAGCTGGAGTGAGTGGGATACAAATCATTGGTTTCCTCGCATACAGTCCAACTTCATACTGCAGTAGAAGAGCTAATTTGAGTTCCAGTGGCATCCTAAAGTTATAAAACCTAATCTTTTGTAGTCGTTTTGTGGTTTCTTTGAGCTGACATTGACAGAAACTGGTCTCCTGATGCAGTTGTTCTTCTTGGTCCCCTCTGACCATATTGTCTGTCAATTGATCCCGTGCTTAGAAAGCAGGTCCAAACTCTTAATATGACGCTCTGAGGGAGACTCAAATCTTGGGCGACCTCAATTTGTGTTTGACTACCTTGATTCTTCATTTAAATGATGCCTTAAGCTACTTAAATGACTCATAACTACTGAACACTGATCGTTCTCCGAAACCACATTCACTTTAAACAACACCAGAGATCGGAATTCCAACATGCATCCATCGCATACCACATAGTCAATCAATGATTGCATATTTCCAGCACTAACGTAGGCACAGAAGTGCAATTTCATGTTCAATTGTATTTACTTAATATAACTAATTAGATTATTGGGCATTGTTTGCAATATTAATTTAGTGACCACATTTTTCCCATTATCCCTTAATTTTGATGAAAAGTGTAATTTTATCTTATTTAGCTTGGTTTATGTTTGTACCAAATCAATTTTCTTGAAGATTTCACAAATGCACATTTGCTATTTGCAATGACATTACAATATTTCAAAATGCATCCAGTTTGAGTATTTTTTTTTGGGGGGAGGGTGGTCAAGTCAAATAAGAATGTATTATTTGTACACTGTTTCAGTTCACTATTTCAAATTGTTTTTATGTAGTTTTACTATGCTGAGTGGCCAAAGTGTCGGGGAATAGTTTTTCCTTAACAGCTTCCCGCTTTTTACATTAAACATAAATTCAGTTTGGTTCTTGGCTTGTAATTTAAACCAAACAAAATAACTTATTAAATGTTTATTTCCAATACTTTTCAAATTAGTTCTTGCCTGCAATTTTGATTCTCACTTCGGAAAAACCAAAGAAACACTTTCACTTATATTTATTGTTAATATATAGGACATTAGTTTATTCCCTATGATAAGTCAATTTCCATTTAATAACAATAATTGCTTTGTTTTTACCGCACTATCATTTTACCTTTTTTTAATTAAATTCTTATTTAAAAAAATTTTATTACCAGCTTTTAATTATACTACTGGTATATTTAACTACAATATAATTTTAATTAACTTTTCATCAAGTTTCCTCAAACTTATTTTCTAGGATATGGTACATAAAAAACTCATGAATAAGTTCTTAGATATATTTATCTCTCTCTTATATATTTATATATATATATATATATAATATATATACCATGTTTAAAAAAGAATACATGTATTATAGTGTTATTTTGTCCAAACTATCGATCACTGTGCCTCAGCTCGGCTATTGGCGAAATGAATACAGTCTAGTTTATATGAATAGCCGCTAAATGTCAGTTAGTTGTCTTCTGTTTTGCGCAGTAATTTCTGCGGAATTTCTGCTTCTGTGGAAATTGTGGTGATTCCCATGTTGCCGATACTCTCTTGGTTTGCAAAAAACCCATTTCTCATTTCTAGTAGCAATTCTTCCAAGTAGGGAAGGATCTTTGTCAACAGGCAAGATTAAGTCTCCCGCCACTTCCATTCGAATTCCCTTTTAACATGCGAGGAATGATGTGTTGACACACCCAATGCATGTTAACATCCTTAGTCAGTGTACACCGACTCGTGGCCTCTGATATCCCAACTGATTCTGCTAGTTGGCAAACTGTTTGCTGCCTGTTCACACATACCGCCGCAGATACCTTTTTGATGTTTTTATCAGTGCACGAAGTCATGGGACGACCACAGCGTTCTTCATCTTCGGCGCTTTTTCTGCCTTCCCAGAAATGACGATGCTACTCAAAAGCTTGCGCTCTCGATAATGTTTCACTTCCGTACTCATGCTTTAACATTTTGAAAGTCTCCGTAACACTCTTCTCCAAACGAACACAAAATCTGATATTGATTCTCTGCTCAACTGATGCAATTTCTTTCTATTGCCGGTAACTAAATGCACCTGGCTACAAAAAACGCTGTCGCCACGAGCTTTTGAACACGTGATTTGGGACAAACCACTTTTAGAAAAGGGGGCGAACATAGTAACAAAAAAACATCCTTGTAGTCGCACTACTGCAAAATTTTTTTTTATTTCAGACTCTGTCCAGAAACTTTTGAATCCTATAATGTATATATTAATTAACAAGTTTAGAAATTTCAAAATTAAGATTATTAATTGTTCAAGTGATGCAAGTATGCTGCAAAATTAAATAAATCAAGACATAATAATTAAATCAATAATGGTAACTGAAACTTTTTACATAATATAGTTTAAGGCATTACACTATTTTTTTCACACCCGACTAAAGATAAAATCATTCAAATACTAACAATGACAGTTTTTTCAATTTTCAATTAAACTTTTCAAAAGGAAGTTATAGTGAATCAATTCTTATGTACAAATTTTCATTATGTTGCCCCTTAAGATTCGGTTACCATCCCAGTAGAGTTATGAAACAAATCACAGAGTTTTATTTTCTGTCACGAAAGACAAAGAATATTGTGTTGTTAAAAATGTTTTCAGTGCGTTTAATTAAAACCTTGCAATTCAAAACATTTTGATACACATTTATTTCTCGCATATTATTAATTAGAATAATACAAAAAAACTAAGAGAATATACAAACCTTTAAGTTTGTGAAAGAAATGTTTAAACGGACTTCCAAATTTAAAATTTTCACCTTCAACAAGTTTCCTATAAAGAGGTAAAAGGTAATTTTCCATTGAGAGCACTATCAAATGTTGCAATAATACAAATAATGAAATATCATTTAACAAAATTTATTAGTGAACTTACACAGCCATTTTATTTCTTCTCCTACACACAATAAAGTAATAAAGCAAATCTTACTTATAAACATGGAACAGAAATAACAAGGTAAAATTTACTCTTTTTACGGAAAACATAAATCTTAAGATTATCCTTATTGCCGTAAAGAATTAAGCAATAACCAAGGCAATTACATAAATCTTATACTCTCATTTGTGATACTGTAATGCTTATTGATTCTTAACACTCAACCTAGTTACCTGACCTGATATATTACTCAAAATAATTTTGATGGGTAAAGTTATCTACCATCCAACTATGAATGGTGGCAAAGACCCCACCAAAGTTGCATCAACAATTCTTACAGAATTTTCTGAAGGACTTGGAGCCTCTTTATTTAATACACAATTAGTATTTAACTTGCTTAATTATTCCACTTCATAAAAATGACTTCATAGAGTTCTACTATTTTCTCAGTCTTCAATCTTACTAGAACTGGATTTTTACTTCGTTTAGAAAGGTACGAGTACAAATTTTCCGTAGTTATTGTTCCAATATATTACTGTTTGATTAACCATATTAAGTTCACCCTAACTTGTCTATTGATACACGCGTTTTTTGATGGCAGCATCCCATAACTTTTTTGAAAATAATCCAATTTACTATCTGGAGTTGAGTCTCAAATTATAATCATTCTTTCAAAACAAAAAGAAAAGATACAGCAATAGCAGTTAATTTGTATCCTTGTTTGTAAAAACAAAATGTGGCTTATTGTGAATCAATCAGGGATACATCAAACGAAAGCACAGATGTTATAAGTGTGTTGAAATGTGACATTTACCTACAACTATAGCTAAATTGCACTGCTAGGTGATCGTTTCATGGTCGAGGGATAATGCATACCAACTTTTGATGCAATATTGGATGACATAAACTATTAGATATCAATATGTTAGATCTAAGTAACTGAAATTCGCTTTACATTCAAAGAACATCTATTTCCATACTTGCCAACCTATGACACTCAAAAATCAGGAGATTTTTTTAAGAAATCAGGAGATTTTTCACAATGTTAAAAAGACTTTTTAAATGATAAAAATATAGTTTTTAATAATGAATTAACTTTAAATAGTTACTAAGTCTTAAATGCAAGCAAAACAAAAATACCTCAGACATAAAAAACATTTTTATTACTTTCATCATTAAAAAAAAAAAAAAAAAAAAGGCACTTTATTCAGTTTTCATACAAATGTTATGGACAGTGGCAGATTTTGCTCTCGTTAAGAAAGAAATTTCATAATTTTGTTCATAGCAATTGCCACGTAGGCCTGCTTTCGCTAATAAAAGTTTTTCTAATGTGTCATCACTAATATTAGGTTTAAAATTAGTCCTCGTTTTCGCAACAACACTGAAAATCCTCTCACACTCCGCATTACTATGGGGAACTGTCAAGATGGCCAACATAATTCTAGAGAGTTCACTATATTTTAAAATTCCATCAGCACCTTTCAATTTTCCAATTAACCTCCACTGGGTGTCAATCCTAGCTGATTTTACAACTTCATCCAAGTTTTCTAATTGTAAACTGCAAAATTGCGACTGCAGTATATCAGTAGCAACATCAATATCATCATCTTTCATGACTAAACGAAGTAACACAGGAAATCTGTTCAAAAAGTACCTTATATAAAAAAAAAGATGCATTTGCTAGAGCAGAAACATCAGCAACTTTAGCGTGCAAAATCACTTCATCTTTGACTGGAAATTTATGTAGTATGTAATCACATACTCGACAGAAGTAACTTCTAACATGAAGATAAAACTTATTTTTGTCTTCTTCTGAAAGTTCTTCCACTACTTTTGTAGTTGCAGCTCCTATTACTAAATCTTCATCTTCCTTCTGATTTTCTGTTTCACCATAAATCACATCATATATAGAATTACAAATTACAAGACAAAACACAGACTGGTTTTACAAACTTTGATAAAATGTCTTTAAACAGATCATAAATCATTGATTGCAAAACATGAATTAATGGAATTCTGCTTTGTAGAATTGTGTTCAGAACATCGAATGATGGCAAAATGAATTGTAAAAAAAAAAAAGCAAAAAGCTTTGTTAAGGTCCGAAGAAAAAACCATAAATATTCGTTCTTCACAAGATAAACTTTCAGTAATCGGAAAATGTTTCGTGTGTTGAGCAATTTTTTTTTTTTTTATTTTTTTTTATTTTGAGAGAAATTTGTATCAGCTTTACACTTATATTTTGCAGTATTATTTTGAGAACTGCCAGTTGAATTGCTGAATGATGCAGAAATTACAAAAAATCAAAATTTTTCTCATTTCAGTATTATGCAGCTGTTGGAACTGTTTCAATTTTTCCTTTCTTTTAGAACTCCTTTCAAGATAATAATAAATATCAACAATGTGTTCATCCACATTTAATGGTAAAGAAGCTGCCCTTTTTTCAGCTGCTAAATTTAAGAGGTGACAGGTGCACCTCATAATCTGCAAATCTGAATTTGCCTTTCTTAAGATGCCTGCAACACCAGTCTTCAAGCCTACCATTACTGGTGCATTATCGGCATCAAGCACTAAGCAATTATCCAGAGAGACTGCATTTTATTTTAAAGTTTTAATAATTAGCTGTGCTATATTAAAGCCTGTCGAATGTCCTTCTAAAGTGGGGTCAGAAAGTAAACTGCACTCAATTTCTGAAGACTCTGGATTAAAAAAAGAAACAACAATTGGATACAGTTTTGAATTGGTATTATTGCTTCTATCCGTAGAGAGGCAGAACGGAGCTGTTTTAATGCAATCAATAACTGAAGATTTATTTTTCAAACCCATTTCTTTAACAACTGCACCTGTTTTGGTCCTTGCACTTGAGTATTTCTTAGCGATTTCACTATCGGGAAACATTTTTCTAAATAAAGCTGCAGCGTGATCCGATGCATTCAGTGGCAGGTTGTGCTCCAGTAAAAAGGCAGAGAACAGACATTCTGCATTAATGACTTTTTGGTCTTTTGTTTCCGAAGAAAAATTTAATTTTTCGTTTTTTTCAAAACAACTCATGTTGTCCTTGCGTTTTTGTGTATGCACATGTTTGAGAATATCTGCCCTTCTACCATGCGAAATCAAAAAATCGCAACGACAGATGGTACACATCGCAAATTTATTACATTTCCTTGAAGAAATAATGGAAGGAAAGTCAACTGTGTACGATTTTTTGAAACGTGCATGAGTATCAATTCACCTTTCTCGCAGACATATCAAAAGACGATAATTTCCAAAACTATTTCCTAAAGGCATGTGTACTCACACAACTCAGGACAAGATAAACGAAATAGCGAAAGAACATCCAAAGAACGGCCAACGGCCTTGAGCTTGCTTTGTGCTCATTGGCTAATATATGCCAGATGACACGCAGTGGAGCTCGATGCCCATTGGACAACTGGAGAACGACGTTGCTGGATACGTATGCTGTCAATCACAAAGCAGAAATTCTCATCTGATTCGCAAGGTTTCATTCTAGATATAATCTAGAGAAAATTCAGTTGCTTTCAGACGTCCAAAATCACATTTTTTTTGTTCATAAAACGAAGTATTAAGCCAAGTTCCATAAAAATCGTGAGAAATATTAAGAATAAGAAAAAGTCGGGAGAAATATATTGTAAATCGGGTTGGCGGGAGAGCGGTCGAAAATCGGGAGTCTCCCGCCTAAATCGGGAGAGTTGGCAACTCTGTATTTCTTTAAATGCAAGAACCAGTAAAATCTTGCAATTTTTATGATGTCATTTATTTAACTGTGAAGTTTTTCATTTTGAATACCATATTATTTACACTTTTCTCTCAATGCAAGTATAAAAACAAGAAAGCTTCGCTTAAAAACATTTCATCCCAGACACTTAAATCTGGATACCTGAGTTACAAATGTAATGTATTTATTGAACATAACACACAGTAAAAAAGTAAATAAATACAAATGTAATTGCCGCATTATGGTATCTTGGTGGATCAAACTTAAGCAGGATTTTATTAAAAGTAAATTAGTTACAAAAAATAGAAATAAAATTATTAGCTTTTTAATATTATAATACAAATAATTACAACCACAATTTTACACAAATTATACACATGCAATTGCCTTTTGAATTATAAGAAGCTAGGTTTATAAGGTCAGACTGGGTTGCTTAGATTTCGGTAAAGCACCTGGGGGTTATCGGCCTACAGGAATGGATGCTTCTCCAGAGAATATTCCAAGATAAAACTCCTATGGAGCCAGTCTGTTCACCATGATTTGAACCCAAGTTGAACTACCAATGTTAAGAAGAAACATTCTTTGACAAAATGTTTCTTCTTTGATATTTCACAATTATTTAAACACGGATTTTCATAGTTTTTTTCCCTCAAATTAACTAATCCATTAATTAATTTACTTGCACGAAAAAATATTTTCTTTTGTTTTAAAGTTTAAAGAAATTTGAAACGATATTCATTTTATAAACTCTTGATAACGTGACCTTCGAACTTCGACACTGGCTTCAAGCTTTGACGACAGTTTCGTGCATGCGCAGCTGTTTCCCTCTAATTAGTATTAAACCGATTTTGTTTTATACGAGAATAAGAATTTTGTTTAGTTCAACATGCACTGCACATGCGATTCTCGAGGTTACTGGACACTTGCTTTGCCTTTCTAAAAGACAATCTAATTGGAGCTGCGAAAATTGGCTCTATGCCAGCTGCCCCAACGATGCTCACGCGATACCCAATTCGCGAATAAAGTGATGGTTTCCAATGCCGGGGCAAAACTCGCTTTTTTTGGGGGGGGATCACCATATATAATTCCCAGACTTTTCCAGATTTTGATTAAAATATTTAAATTCCCTGAATTTTTTGGTAAATTTTCGATTTCCCTGACTTTTTCCGGTTTTCCAGGTAGCGTGGCAACCCTGTCACAAGGTCCACTTTTGTCATCACTTTAGGTTAGAGGGAAGTACTGCAGTACGCAGTAGAAACCCTTTACTTTTACCATCCAAGCATTATGGACTTAACATTCTGCATAGAAGTATGGCTTTCCAATTTGTCAGACATGAAAATTTCAACCAACTCCCAACAGATTTAATTTTGAGTTGGATGTATATTAGGAAAAAAAGGAGTTTGTACAAAGTGAGAAGGTCATTTTCAAACTATAATTAAGGAAATATCATTTATTCATAGCATTTTAAAGAGTTTTAGGGTTTCTAAACTGCAATTTTCCGAGGTTTTAAAAACTATGGAATTTAAAAAAAAAATTTTAATCTTGGTAAGTATTAAGAAAATCAATTTGTTTTAAATTTATCTAACATACAGCTTACCTTTTAAAAGTAAAAATTTCAGGAGATTTAAATCTCAGATTCAAGAAATTTAAAAACCTCTAAAAATTTAAACAATTGCACAATAAAGAATTTACCAGCTTTTTGGATTACTCCTGTTGATTCACTGCAAAGCACGTGTTTCTATGATATGGCAAAGCTGCTGTCAAATGGGTTTTTATTTTATTTATGAAAGCTTGGCTTTTACTCGTGTCTCTTTAATCAAACCTCATGGAAAAAATAGTCCTCTATAGCTTTACTACACTTAAAAGTTCTTTGCTGTTTCACAGGAAACCTCTTAGACATTATCAAATGGACCACAGCGTGCATTTGTACTTCATATGCTGAATTAATAGTAGAACGAAATTCTAAGTTGAAGCTTGCTTTGCCCATCACAACAGCATCTTTGTAGAAGGACTGTTCATTCATAGCAATAGTGATAATAAAAAAAAGTTTTTTATAATTCAGAATATTTAAGAAAATGTAGACCTTTCTAAAGATTTCAGTTTTTCCAATTTCAATTTTTACAAGAACAGAACTTGTTAAAAACAGAACTAAAAATAAAGGCACTTTTAAAGATTTTTAATGATTAGCACAATATTTTCTCACCTTTAAATAATGCATGCAATTTTGTCAAAATTTACTCTCCATTACAATACTCTTTAATAAAATATCTATCACGTTTTTAGGGCATTTATACTTAAAATTTTTGTTTTTATTAGACAATCCCATCAGTTGTTCTTTCCTAAAAATCCATTAATAGAAGTAATAACATCAAACGTCTTCTATTCTTACAAATATAAACCTGTTTGTACACACCACTATAGCTCTTTCACAGCAATTTTCTCTATACAATATATTTATCTGAATTCTAGAACTTTTTAACATGTAACTTCAAACTTTTTAACATGTTCAAAATTACATTGCTACAGGAATATCACATAATATCGAAAAATTTTCGGTTAATGTTTTTAGCAATATCATCCTTTTTTTAGCATAAATTATGCCATTTTAGTTATGTGAGGGTTATTTCATTTTTCACATGAGAGCTAAGAATTCTGAACTGCCAAAGCAGCTGCACATGATCCAAGTAAATACATACCATCATTACATTTTGTATGACAAATACTTTTATTAATTAGTGATAATTGTCAATACTTTTCAATGTTTACCTCTCTTTCCTAATGCTTTAATTAATGTGAATAAATGTTCACACTCCAGGTGTATTGGTTATTCTGCATTTAATTTTAGTCACATCTGGAAATCAATATTCAAAAAAATCTAATGATTTCTGGAAAATTAAATCATCTGAATATCATCCTTTTTTATTGTTATTATTTTTTATGGTAATTTCAGTCTCATTTTTGGAAACTGATGTACTGCATCAGTACTACCAAATGTCACCACAGCTGGTCTTCATAAAGTTAAAAAACTGAGTTTCCTTGTTAACACTGAGGTGGCAAAAATCTGGTTTCTAATAATGTGTATGAGGTTTACTATGTTTATGGACACCAAATCAGAGTAATTAAATGGTAGACTATAACTTTATTATTAGTTACTTTGTTCTAAACCACATCACTACAGAGCTGAGTTTGATAACTTTCAAAACTTTTCCACTAGGGATTGCAGCAATCGTTTCTATTCGATGGAGCAATCTAAATGCCTGTTATCTGGGATTATTTACTTCCACGTCAAAAAGGAAGCACACAGACTTTTCTTTGAATTTTCTCTACACATCACATATGCTCACACAAATGCATATAACCAGGACAGAAAGTAACAGAAAAATTGAGGAACATGATCCAAAAATTAAATAAATCAAACAGTTTTAGCATCAATCCAACAAAATTTAAATTTTCATTTTAAAATCCAAATGCTTTACAGCAATCATGATTACATATCATGAAATTTTACAAATACCTTACAGCAAAAAATGTAATAATTTTTTTCATAAAGAAAAAATTTTCAAAACATAATGTTAAAAGAATTCTCAAATAATTTCACAAAAATTAATCTCACCTCAAAGTATCACTTTTTTCTTTTTCATCATCATCGGGAAATACTGGCAACAGACTCTGCAAAGACAATTGCAAAAAAAATATAAGTTGAAATCAAAAATCTTAAGTAAAAATACAGTGGAGCACTATTTATATGTCTTTCAACGAGCCATTCATAAACAATGTATAAATGAGAAAGGCATATAAACAACATTTTAATTATGATGTGAAACATATATATATGTAATATTTTTGAAGCATAGAAGAGGAATCAACTCGTTGTGGCTTATGCTGGAGACTTACAGATGAAGATAACAAAACACGAACTTGAAGAATTTCCAGTCTTTATTTCCATGCATATAAAATCATCACTAGTGGTTGAGTGGTCCAGTGGGTTAAGGTCTGGTGAGCAAGAAGGCCAAGCCACAAGTCTGCCATGTCCAATCCATTATGCAGGATCTGTGGCATACGAAAAGTTACGGACCATGACAGAATAATGTGCTGTGGCTCCATTGTGCATAAACTATATGTCTCTTTGGATGGGGAGCGGAACAACCTGCAATAAACTGGGAAACACTTGTTCGAAGAAGATATGGTATGTTGCACCGGTCAAACAGTCAGGCATGATGCAAGGGCCTACAAGGTAATCACCTAGGATACCTGCACCTGACGTTCACGGAAAATTTCTGCTGGTGTTTATGAGGGGTAGTGCATTGGGGATTGTTGTCAGAGCAAACATCCTGATTGTGGACATTGAAAATGCCTTCTCTGCAGAATGTTGCCACATCACTATATCATATTAATGCAGGTAATCGTGGATCGTTATTATTCATTCCAAGCATCCACTGCACAAAGACTGGCTGGCAGAGATAAACATCTGTGTCCCAAAGATTGCACTTTTTGAATTTGGTAGGGGTGCATACTTTCGCTTCTTAAAATATGCCCCACCACTGGCTGGGAAATACAAATTTCATATACCACTGCTTGTGTCAAGCTGAACCTCTACCTAATATTATCTCTGTTTATGTAATTTGGAGAATTACATATGGCAACAGTGGAGATTTTTTATATTTACGTTTTGAGCTTGTTCTTCTTATGAGAAAGAGAGAAAAATCGCTTCGAGTTGCATTTCACATGTATTTTGATAACTAATGAGTATTTATCTTGCACCATTTATACATTTTGAGTGTTGTTTGAGATGCTGAAACTACAGTTGTCACTTATTAGATTTGTAAATAAACTGTGTTGTAATGAGATGTTTCATTGAATAACTGATTACACTCATTTCCATTACTACTTCTGATGTTCGAAGGCAAAACGTGACATTATGGCACCCGAGGATAGGATATGACTACGTTTTTACGAGTGAGTGAAAAATATTTTTATATTTTGTTTTTTATTCTTTATTCATTATGGAAACTGTATTGAAAGATAGAAAACAACTTAGAAGGTTGTTTACTTGAGCATGTAATTTCTTTTAATGAGGAAGAAATTGAATTGAATTATGTTAAAAAAATTAATAAATTAAACCTACATGAAGAAAAAGCTTTAGTAATGATAGCATGTGAAGAGAAATATAAACAACTGTTATATTCTGAAAATACTTCCGATACCAAAATAGAGAAAGTGGTAGATGAGTCGGAAACATATATTGATTATTGGAGATCTTTAAAACAGAAGCTAGAAACACTAGTGGGTAAATTATTAACTTCTATGAATGGAAGTTTAAATGTTATTTCGTAGCTGAACACTTTATTGCATTATCCCCCCCCCAAAAAAAAACTTCTTTTGACGGTAATGTAAGAAATTAGCTGTACTTTTGGGGGCAGTTTGAAAAAAATGATGAAGATATTAACCTTTTAACTGTTATGCCCGAAATAATCTCGGGCACAGTACTGGTGTTCCAAAATGTCACGCCTGAGTATTTTTTTGGGTGCATCTTATTGTTATGCTCGAATAAATATCGCGAGGAGTTTACTTCTTCAATTCAATAGACGGTAGCACTTTACTGAAGGTTTCAAAGGATAGAGGTTTATGTTCAAAATGTACAGCATTTTTTTGTTGCAAATTGGCACTTAGTTCTTTGAAACGTTATATAGATGATTTAAATTCTTCAATTGATGATGAAGATTTTGAAGGCATTAAAACTAGTGATGCGAGTGAAACTGAGGAGAGTGACATTGAATGTAGGAGTGAATCAGCCGATAGTGATGATGATAATGATATAGGAAATGTGAGAAGTGTACCTGTAAAAGGGAACCGAGGGCCTCCTCGGTTCCCTTTACAGGTTTTACAGGTACTCCAAGTGTAACTTTTCCTATAAACATAAACTACACTCTTCTAGATATATTAGAAATGTTTCTGGATTCAAATCTAATGGATATAATTGTCAAAGAAACGAACAACTATGCAGAATAAGAAAGAAGAGCAAATGAAGCAAAGATATTAAGGTGCTCCCACAGTATAAAATGGATCCCTACAAATGACGGAGAAATGAAGCTATTCTTTCGGCTAATAATTCTTCAAGGTATTGTATGGAAACCAAATAAGGCTATGTACTGGTCTCATCGAAGGGTTTTGCACACTCCAGTTTACTCAAAAGTAATCCCTGTAAATCGTTTTATTTTGCTTTTTCAATATTGAAGCTGAAGAAAAAGATTTTCTAAATCCAAAACTTTGCAAGCTGCATAATGTGATGCAAAATTTACAGCAAAAGTTTTGCTGTAAATTTTATATACCAGAAAGAGATGTACCTGTAGATGAAAGCTTGATGCCTTATAAAGGAAGATTATCTTGGTAACAATATACTCAAATCAAATGTGCATGATTTGGAATTAAATTTTTATGCTTTGTGAGGCTAAAATAGGGTATATTTGTGACTTCATTATCTATACAGGAAATAGTACTGTCTTGGTAAACAAATTATGGTATACAAATTATGTCCTTTCCACAAAAGTCGTCATGCACTATTGAATTGCTTTCTTGGAAATGGTTATTGTTTGTTTGTAGATAACTATTACATGTCACCCGAACTTGCAGATTTACTTATAGCTCAAAAAACAGATATTTATGCCACAGTAAGGATAAACCGATGAGATTTACCTACAGAATTTGCTAAAAGAAAGTCACAAAAAGGTCAAATCATAGCTTTTCATAGAGGTAAGATTTCAGATATAAGGTGAAAAAATAAGAAGAATGTGTGCTTGATGAGCAGTATTCATGATACTTCCATGATCAGCCTCAAAAATAATAAAAAAAAATAATAAATAAATAAAAATGAAGATATACTCAAGCCAAAGATTGTTCCTGACTACAATCTAACTATGGGTGGTGTAGATCGTTGTGATCAAGAAATATCCTTTCATCCGACAATAAAAAAAGAGGTCAGAAAAAATATTATAAAAAGATATTTCTACATTTATTAGACAAGGCTATCTGGAACTCATTTTTGCTCTATAAAATGTAGTTGGGAAACATATATTTCTAGAATTTTGAATCCAACTTGTAGAAAACCTTTTACATAAATATGATCATGCAGCTTCTGGACAAAAGAATCTTGGCAGACCACCTACAATAGATAACCCTGCCCATCTTACTGAACGACACTTTATATCCCATATTCCTCCTACTCCTGTGAAATGTGAGCCTACAAGACAATGCAAAGTTTGTTGTTCAAAAAAGGATGAAACTGGGAAAAGGATATGGAAGGAAACATGATTCTGGTGTCCTGATTGTGGAGTTGGATTGTGCTTGGAAAAGTGTTTCCAGCTATTATTTTCATTTATTTATTTATTTTAAATTAATTTCTTTTAATTTTTAGAAAATAATGCCCCAACAGAAGCAAACTTTACCATTACCACACTGAGTGGCAGCCGCCTCAACCGAATATGCAGTGGCTACAAAAACTTAAAATTTTTATGCATGCAATTTGAAATATCAATTTTTAACTACTAAGTATATTCTGTTTTGTACTAAAATTTGATTTTTGCAACAAAAAAAATTGACTGTTTTTCAAATCTCCAAAATAACTTGGCAGTTAAAGGGTTAATGTTGATTTTTATGATAAATTTTCGCATTTATCTTAAGCAATGGAAAAAGCAATAGTCCTGCCGAAAAATTAAGTTCCCCCTCCCAGGTGGTGATAGTTATGAAAAGGCTTTAAAACAGCTAAAAATGCATTTTGGCAGAGAAGTTATATTGATTTAAGTATAAGTCAGAGATTTATTACCATTAGTTCTTCAAAAACAGAATTAAAAATTCATTAAGAAAATTGATTAACTTGATAGTAAACTCCATTCATTTGAACTATTAGGGGTTACTAGGGAAAAATATGCTGCCATGTTGTTTCCTCTAGTTGAATCATTGTTACCTGAAGAAAATCTTGTTGCTTGGGACCGCTATAGATCTGCACATTGTAGAGTTCGAGAAGTGATTCCAGATGATTCAATTCAAAGTAAAACTATAATTGAGAAAAGTGATTTAGAATGTATTTTAGAATTTTTACAAGATGAAGTTGAAGCTGAAGAATGCATTTTTTAGCCTCTTTTGAGAGATCAATACTTCAAAGTCAAAAGTGGAAGTAAAATATAGTAATTTTCCCAATGAGAAAAAAGTGACACATAACAAATTTAAGAGAGGAAAGTTTTCAAATGTACCTAGTGAGACAGATCTTCTAACTTCATCTCAAGTGTCAAAACACTGTGTATTCTGTTCTAAAACAAATTATTCTGAAGATTGTCTAAAAGCAAGAAAAATACCTTTAAGTCAGTTTCAGTCACTTGTTCAACAATCTCACAAGTGTTTTTTTATGCTCAAAATCTGGACATTCAGTGAAGGACAGTAACTTGAAAGCTGGTTGCTTGTGTTGTGGTAAAAAACACCATATTTTTTTATGTAGAGAAATGCACCAAATAACTGTGCCCAAAAAAGAAGAATCACCCGAAGTTGAAAAGAAAACTGAGATTAGTGCAGAAGTGGATCAAACTCTTTCCAACTTATCTTCTACTCCCGACGTAATGCTTCAAACATTCAAAGTAAAGTAATACAGTCTGTAGTAGATCGTTTTGAGGTTGATTTGT